GGGCTATCTTTCTGCCAGTGAAGGAAAACATGCATACATGTTACAATAAGAAAAAGTACTAAATAAAATACAAACTGTACAGAATCAATTAATGAAGACCTTACCATGTCTTGGGTAGAGATACAATCAGCAGGACTGTTGCTATTACCTAAACCTTTCAATCTCCTAAAAATACTAGCTTAATCTCTTCCTCTTTAAAGGCAACAAAGAGGCACTTGATGATTTCAGCAGGTTCTGAGTCTGAATGCAGACAGGAGGGTGATGCTTTAACAAAACAAACATGAAAAAAAAACCCCCAAACAAGTCTGGGAATCATAAGGAGTCCCTCCATCCCTGCAAAGAGAAAATACTGTCAGTTTTCATTCCAATTGTTCAATTACTTCTCTGCAGAGAATATTTAGAAGGAAATGTAGGACCTAAACCACATATAGTGGAAATATCTCAAGAAGTTTATTGCCTAATGTCTATTTACTTTCACTCCAGAAGTTTCATTAGACCCTTCTAATTAAACATATCTGTCTTTAGAAGCCCAAATGCATCTGCCCTTTAGTATTCTATGCAACACCTAATCTTCAGATCATCCTATGAAGTTTTATGGGTATTCATTTGTGTTTTTAAGGCAGGTTTATAACAAGAAACCAGTTTCAGCATGCAGGTACTTGCTTCTCTGGCAAGGCCTTTTTAAAAGGCCCGAGGAAGATGACAACAAAATCACAAAAATTCAGTGGTAACTGGACATTTTTACCTGTGCATCTCAGCCTTCATATAAGAAGAAATGTATCTTTGATAGTGAGTTGTGAGAGAGAAAATGTTACTTTTATATAAAAAAATATTATTCTTTTTTCAGGCTAGGAATATGTTATACAAAAAGAATCTTAAACTGGACTCTCTCTTGCCTTGAAGAGGGCCAGAACAATCTCATGGAAAATCAGGACTGCTTTGGATATAATGAATGCATTTCATATATTAGCTACTGTGATGCAGCAAGAATGACTACTTTGCTTCAACAACTTGTAGAAGTTGTTTAGACAATGTATATATAGCAGCATAATTTATCTAGATAAAAAAATAATCAGTGTAACAATCAGAAGTTACAATTTAGAATTTATTTCCCTGCTATAAAGGCAGATGTTGTTTAAGCTTTGATTTACAATTTATCTGTCTTTTTCCAAGGCAAGAAATGAGTTGCTAATTATTAGACAGATTAAAGTGCCCTGTATACTATATACTGTTATAGCATTTAACTGACAATAAAGTACATTTATTAAACCACTGGGGAAACATGTATATATTAAACAATCACACCACACAAGTAGAAGCCTGTCACCGTCAAAATTGAGTTGTCAGAGCATGATTTAATATCAGGTAAGGTATTTCTCCTCTTCTGATTTGACTTAACATTGAAGTAATCCAAACAAAAAGCCAGAAACAGAAACAGATAATGGCTTAGCACTTCAAAGGTGATTGAAGGAGGGGAGATGAAGAGGTATTGTCACCCCTCCAAAAAAAGACCTGAACCAATCCTCTTCCTATATATGCATAACTATGATCTGCCTTTGCCCTTGCTGTACCTCAAACTTCGGAAGTGACAAAAATCAGGAGACGTGCTACTTGCCATGCACCAAAAAAAGAAGCTACAGTTGAGCACTCATTGCTTATTTAACTATTATACTCCCAACTGTAACCATACCCTACCCACACTGGAATTTTCAAGGCACTTATCTATCAATGGATGTGGGAAAGGGGAATTTAATTCACTTAATAGACGATGACACTTAACATATTTAAAAGTTAAAAATCAAAATAGAATCTGGTTTATTAACTCCAGCATAACGCCTTTCATGCAGATGTTTCCCACTCTTTTCAGAAGCAAACAAGTATCTGCTCTGTTAACAAATGCCCAGAATCTCAAATGCTGGCACAAAGTGAGAACCAGACTGAAGGAAGGAATATTCTGCAAAGAAGTGTGAGCCAAGCACCACCACATAATGCCCGGTGCAAGCTCCCCTTCACAGTCCAGTAAGGCTCTTGTACATCAGTCAATATATTAATTTAACTTTTAGGGTAAACCAAATGGCTTAAACAGGTTTACTCTGTGTTAATTCTGTCTTAAGGAAGTGTTCGACTAGAGCCAGAGCTACACTAAAGTCTGTGGCACTGCTGGCTTCCTTTGCCTCCTGCTGGAACAGGGCTGCAGTCAAGTTTTCACTTTTCCCTCTCGCCTATCAAGTTCTAGACAGCATTTTCTTTCCAATTTCAATGTTTTGCCATCTGGCACCAAATCAAATACAAAAGATAGAAACAGACAAGACGTGTGAAAAACTTATTTTCTTTTCTATATGTCTGTTGAATACACTCAACTTTGCCTTTTTTTTTTTTTTTTTTTTTTTTAAATTTATTTAAATGATGCCAAATAGGCTCCTAATACAAAAAGGCAATTGAAAGATTCAACTTTCTAATTACAAACAGCCCCAATAAATAAGCAGTGCTTTTTCACACTTACCCCACCTCTTTCAGTCCTGCATAAATTTAAACCAAATATCTAACAGTGCCTATCTCCATATTTTTAATGGAGTACATATCAGTGAACACTTCTGAAAAATTCTCCTTTATGGTGGGGGGTACAATTTGTGGCTTATTCCTTTTCGGCCGGAAATACATAATTCTGTTTAGAACAAATACATTTGAAGCTGAACATCATCTAACAAACATTTCTTTAGATAAAATGGTTTTTGTTTCCATGCATTTTCTTCTGCAATTTTTCATATGGGTGGATTACCTAGTAAAATTTAAAAAGTAATAGCTATTGCTTTTGTCAAGCCTCAAGATACATAGTTTTGGATTGGCTAAATCCATGAATAGTGGCAGACAGTTCTATACAGCCATGATGAGTAAAACTGAAGAAAAACAAAAGAAAGGTGTCCTAAGTTTTATCAACACAGTGAAATTGAGGCTGGTTTTATATGTACTCTAAGGGTATGATAGAGGTGGTGAGTCTCTACCAGTATTTAGGCTCCAGTATTTAATTAATCTGTGGTCAAACTGGTCAATCCAGTATTTTGCTGCTGTTTAAAACTCTACACTCTTTAGCTAGACTTCCAAGAACTTTAAAAGCAAATCAAGAGGCAAAGCAGCATTTCTCTTTTATAGAAGACTAGAACATTGACAATTCCAGTTAAACTGGATAAACAACGTCTTGGTTGCAGAAAGTCTGGGTTTGAGGATAAGGCAGCACCCTCTCACATGACTGAAATACTTGCACTTACTAAGCACACTGCAAGTTTTCTTTAGCTGCACTGCAAAGGAAATACTCAATTTTCAGTTAACAAAACATTTAAAAGCCAAAACAAATCTAAGTTTGCATAAGAAGTGTCACTATATTACAGGAGAAAATGGTATCTCAGCTATGGTGTAACCCACAAGCCACACTGTAAAGCCTCTGTCCTTTCTTCCCTCCAGACACTTGTTTCAGGTTATGTCTTCATTCTGGTTTAGACAGAATACTTACAGTGTTCCTTTGTTTCAGATGAAACATTCCTGACTGGTCCTGGAAAACAACTCTCTGAAAATGGCTTGGTAGTATGTGGGATATCTCCCATAAAGATATTCATTAGTGACTACCAAAGCGTTTTCTTTCCTGTTCCTATTCCTCAGGACATTAGTGAATAGTTAAGCTCTTTCTGAAATAAATTAGCATGTTCAGTGATGTAAAATGTAATTGTTGAAGGAAGCTGCATAACCCACTATCAAATGTGTAAAACATCATGTAAATCAGCTCCATTTGGCTGTTAGCATGTTATGCATGTTCCATTTGTTCCTTTGAGGGGGGGATTTAAGCACTCAGCATTTAGTGAGCAGCTGTGATTATTCAAGTGGATAGCTTTCATGTTGAAATATTTATCATGGACTTACCCAGATTTCATGCACAAAGCTAGGTACTCACTGACTGAAACTATCTGAGATATGCTGTACTATATCTTCTACGCCATCACTGTTACTATTTAAGAGACATGATACATATCACAAGTTAATTTTCTAAATGATGAAACAGGTTAATGAAAGAGATGCCTCATACTACTTACAACTCCCTGTTTGTATAAAAACCTCAGTGTTTGTTGTGCTAATTCTTCTGCTGTCTATCACATGAAGACCTTTTAGTGGTCCACAGCCCTCCTTGTCATATCAGGGTTACAGTTCCTGCCCTTTGAGTAAATAGGTTTAAGAAACTGTGGTAACTGTGTTGAACTTAAGGTATACCATATCTAAGAACATGTATTTATAAACAAACAAACAAAAAAAAAGGTAAGTTTCCTGCACCTGAGAGGAAGAATGGCAAAATAAATACTTCTACTTGTTATTCTGCTGGTTCACAACACCACCCAATATTTACTAATAAAAAGGAATAGGCAAGTCTGAATATTCTCCCTGCCTAGTTTAAGACACTGACAGTAAAAAGTATCATGTGAGAGTCACCATTCTCCATAGGAACAATTCTCCATTTCACTGCGAGCAACACCACATGAGCTAAATGATTCTAAAAACCCAATCAATACATTGTTTTTTGCTAGCAGGAATATGAATTATACCTTATTTCCTTTGGACTTTATGACATACCTGTCCCCACCCTACTTATCTTGTATGTGTTTCCTAAAACCACAGAAAGTACACACAAGTGAGTTTTGAAAACTAGATCTTACTGGTACACACTAGAAGTGCTGATGTCACTTCTATAACATGTCAAAATAAATATTTTAAAGCTGAAAAAGGGCACGTTAAATAATTTCATTTCAAAACATCAACTCAGCTGCTGATCACTTGAAGAGAAATGCTTGTCAAGAAGCAGAAATGAACAACAAAAAAACACCCCCAAATCCTGTCGTCTTACCCAAAGTTATGAATCTCAATTATCCAGACTCTAGCATTTATTTACTACAGTCTCTATTAATGCCACTGATGTATTTTTAAGTATAAACATATATATGCTATAGCAATATACTTACAGCAGCTGTGTTCTTCATGGCATTTCCTACAATCACCAGAACTCTTCCTTTAAAGCTCTGGAGTGTGGCAGTTGCTGGGCACTGCACAAGATCCCCTTCTGCAGTAAATGCTGATGCAAATGGGACATTGATGCTGCCAGAAATGTGGCCACGGTTGAAGCTTAGGAAGATCAGTTAAGGATATTGGAAAGGCAGAGAAATCTGTGGTACCTGAACAGCTGTAGGATAAATCTGCTCTTCATCCTGGCTGTTGTGATACAACAGCATTGGTCTTTCGTACTGGCGTGCTTATTTACTATTTACATATGGAGCAGACAACTTCTGACACTACACAGCAAAAGGACAGAATGAAGAGTTGTTTCATGAAGGACATAGCACTACAGAAACCGATCTGCTGAATGAAACACTCGGTGCTGAGGACTGAATATCCACACTATACAAAATTTCATGGTTTTCACTTTGAATCAGCTCTAGTCTGATACCAGGAGCCAAATGCCAATAATCAGCTGGAGCACCTCTTCCACAGGACTTTTATGCAAAAAGAATGAAGTACTTAAAATAAGAACCAAAACTAAATCGGGATTATTGAAAAATTTCTTTAAACCTCCTGCCAAACCCTGTAAACCCCCTACAATTTTGATGCAAACTGAAATTCTAATGCACATACACTCAGATTCCCAGACAACAAGCATCATGTATAGTATCTGCAGTCCGACTAACAGCAGGTGTGCACAGGGTATTGAAAAGCAAACAACATACAAGTGCTAGCAACTCTGTTATAGTTAGTTGTGCTTCACTTTCAAAGGATTATCCTTCAGTGAGATTTTATGAACAAATACTGAATGTGAAACTCTCTTCAATAAAAATTAAGTTTGGACTACTACTATCTAGCTTTTTATGAATTTGAAAATGCACCATGACCTTGCCAAACCCCCAATTTACTTTCACAGACTGTACACACATGCCTGGAACACTCCCCCAACAATAAGCAAGAACAGCTTTGAAGAGATGGGAAACAGCAAAGTTCTGCAAAAACATACACAGTGTCAAATACCCAAATTAGTGTCACTTTATTACTGTACTTGCAGAGAGCTAGTTCAATTTATAATTACATCTCAGAAGCCTTTTTAATAAAGGAGCTGCCTTAAATGGCGGTAAGATTAAACTGACTTAGGTTAACATTAGCATTCATTTCTTGCGATTTATGTAACTGTTTCAGCTTTATGATCATCACTGTTATACTGTGGGGAAAAACATGGCTATAGAAAAACATTTGAAAGAACAAAATATGATCATGTACCATTCACTAATGTTGTCAGTTTGTTTCTATTTTGGAGGGGAAAATTACGACAGCCCTCCATCTGTGCCAACCCCTTTTCTGCAAGCCCCTTTATAACAGCATTACTCTCATTGCTACTAATCAGGGTAGAAGTGCTGAAACAATCATTGTTTAGACAGAAAATTACTTTGGACAGATTTAGTTGCTAATACTTACACCACTGAGTATGCTTAACTGCCCAGCGAAACTTGACCTATTCTTTTAAAAAAGAAATACATTTGATATCAACATTAGTACCAAACTAGGCAGGATCCAAACTGTATTTGCTGTCACTCACTTTCTCCCTCGTCATCAGTCACCATTTGAAGTGTTCAAGTACTAAGACAATTAACAAAAAGGCCAAGAGTTTGTGCTACAGGCTGAGAGACCGTAAGTATGCAACTATCACTTTCACAACAGGAATGGAAGGCTTCCAGTATTTTTGCTAACACGCTTAACAAAATGAGCCTTCGATGGATTGCTGACCAACAGAGACACGGCTTTCAGTATATTACCTTTTCATTAGGAAGTCTTCTGTTCCAAAGCTCCCAATCGGGAAAAAGGTCTAGTAGCTCTTGGCCTCTAAACATGAGCTTCATTTCAAAACAATGCCTTAGCTTTCAAGTGCATCCTAGTATGAAAAATGAAGCATGTTCAATACTTGTTGAAAGTTCTCTCATGCTTTTTTTCAAATCGCACCGAAAACAAAATGAGAGTGAAGTTTATAACAACAGGCATAGATGATGAGGAAGACTAACAACAAAACATAAGAAATGACCATATTTTTGAAACGCCTCACAGTGGTCTGTCACATTTTAAATACACATGCCACAGTCACATACAGACTGCTGGATCCTATTGTACAGTTTGTTGAAATTTTGTGACAAACACAAAGAGTGTTTCCTCACTGTGAGAATGAAGAGGACACCGAACACAGTATTATTGTCATTTCCCATGTATATTCAGAACTGATGATAGTTTAATAGCTTTCTAGATACCATATGTTTTCTTCTACAACTGACATACAAATCAACTCACTTAAGGGGTAATTTTACTACCTAACAGGCTGCCTTTCTAATACTGACATCGCCTACTTCCTAATACCAGACGGGTATCAGGATTTACGTCCACCCATTACGTAAAGGACAGGACATGTTAGTCTACCATAAATTCCAACCAGACCAGAACAGCAGCAGCAGTGATTACAGTGCACTGTTCAAGCTATGGAGATTTTGTCCCTCCAGCATGCCTTCTCATTCAAGAAATATAAATGGAAAGCCTGATTAAAATTTTGTAATATGAAAGACAGCCTCATAAAACCACTTCATCACAGTCAAATGATTTTAAAAATAAATGAAATTTTGAATCCACTCTGCCAGAGTAGAATAGGATTAGTATGACAGTAGAGTAGAACCCATTATCAAGCTATTAGTAAAGCTATAAGAAACATTTAAGCAAACACCTTGCCTTTGATCCTGATTATAGTATAAATAAATCCATTACTGTACACAGATAATAGCCTTTCAGTGTAATGATTGTAGCCTAGGCATTTTATATTACTTGCTCTCCTTCTGCTTTCTCCTTGATTTCTAGGAATTAGCTTAAATAATTAATAATAGAATGATGCATGTAGAAACAGAAACATTATTAAACTCTGTAGTATCAAAGCTTTCTATGCAGTAACAATAACCTCTTATAGTTTTTAATTCCAGAGACTTCTCTTTTAAACTGGAGGAAAAAAAAAATATCCCTTGATGAAGAAATTATCTCTCAGAAAATAGCTTGCATTTTTACTGTTTTCTGAATACAGAAGACCACATTTTCAACAATTTAGATCCAGAAATAAAGAAGCTGCTGGAACCTAAAACATAAAGAGTCAAACTACTCAGACACATGAATCTCTACTTAATTGTTATCCTTAACTGATGCATTAAATTAATACATGTAAGCAAAAGAAAAATTACTTTTTTGCATTCCTTTCACCATTCTGTTTTATCTACACAGCTGATCATATTACAAGTTCAAGTTTGGCATACAATAAAATTGTAATTCCTTGAAAATAACAACTTTAATTTAGAATATTTCAATTATACTATTCTGTTTACTATGTAAATAATAACTTTACCTCTACATAGTAAAAATAATATTTTTTTTTCTATTTTATCATACTTTGTCATAAATATTGTTAAATATTTAATAGAGAAAAATGTTAGTGGCAGTTTCTTTCTGAATATATAATTACCTTTAAAGTGCAAACTAGATGAAAAAAATGAGGTTAAAACATCATTTATTCAAATTTTTACTACATATTTGAGCCCAAATATTGGCACTGATCCACCATTCACTTCACTGTTTACAATTTACACTTTTCTAATACACATGCAGTATGTCAGTAGCATGCATTAGATATGGAAGATCTTTTCTAATGGCAAAGATGTTGGGAGCCTCTTGAATCCCTATCACTGGACATCTTTAAGAACAAGCCAGGCGTATATAAAAGGAACAATCATCCTTTCTCAAAGTAAAAGGTGGACTACAACTCATTATTCTTTTGTTATTTTTCTATTTAGTATTGCTTGCCCATGAGGAATTATAGCTTGTGACACAGCAAGCTAAGAGTACATCTACTACAAAAAAAACTATCTACCATCACTTCTGTTATTATGAAAGGAGCAATATTTAAAAAATGATACAAACCAATAACAAATATATTATCAAATACTTGGCATAGCATTCAGAGTTACCTCTAATAAAATCTTATCATTATTCCCACTTTCAGATGGCTGTGGACAAAGATGTGTAAGAAGGACTCCCTCTTCCAAATCCCAATCAAACCCAGCCCCGCAACTACACTACTTCAGAAGAACAACTAAAAAAATACTCCACATGCAAAAAACTATGTATTTGGAGAAGAACAAATGAGTGAGGTGTAGACAGGGTAGCAACCCTGATAAAAATATAGCTTCAAGATACCTTTAGGGCTTTTCTGATTATAAACTAACTAGAGGACATAAGTTAGAACAAACATACGGCTGCATTACCTGACAATAAGCAAGAAAGCAGTAGGAATTGCTTTTTCACTGAGGGATTGGCAAAGCACATGAGTTAGTAACTCTATCTCCCTTGCACTTAATTGGAAATCCTCAAACCCTTCCAAAACATCGGACATATTAAGTGGGGAAGGTCTCCTGACAACACCTGTCATACAAAAGAAGTAGCATTAAAGCACTCATACTACTGGTACAAAGTGGTTTCACAGCTTAAAATGGAAAGGCAAAAATACATTTGTTCTCTTCTCTGCAAGACAGGCCTCTCCATGACAAAAAAAAAAATCTGTGTTTGGTCCTTCCACTGTATTTCTACCACATTGTTTCCCATTGTTTACTATTCTAACATCTCAGTTTCTGCAAATAATGAAGAAGTAATTGATACAAGCATGATTTGGCAAGACTCGCACTCAGATTTTAAGGATACTCGTCGCTGTTACGAATGTCCACCACCAGCAGCTTTGGCTTGCTAGACTTTGTTTTCTTCACAGGTGTTTTGGAATGGCTAGATCCTGTCAACTCACAAAAATCAATCAGATCTTCTGCTGAAATCCGTGGTGACACCTCTGCCTTCAGGTCATCCAACTTGATGGAATCCCTAGACTTTTAAAGGTGAAAATTAATATTAGCGGTGATAGAATTAGAGACATGGTTCTTCTTTGAAACTTCTACTTACTTGACAGCCTCAAAGTGTAACAACCCAGTTAGACAGAAACAGATCTTTTCCTTATAACTTTGAACTAGTCTCAGTTTATCTATCCATACAGAAAAGCTCCAAAGCAGTGTCAAATGGCTGTCAATTATAGCCCTATTTTCTCATGAAGTTAAAAATTAAAATTGTTTGACAATCTGTAAAAACTATTTTAGTTTGTGATTTTTTAACAAATTATTCACTGTGGCTGAGGTGGGTCACAAAACGCACAGAATGTTTCTCAGCATCAGAAATTAAGCAAATTGGCTAGAAAGCATTCTCTGAAAGGAGACATGCTTGGAGCAGGAAAGAAAGTTAGCAATTGAAGATTCGGTACAGAAACTTCAGGGAATCCTCTGTAAGATACAAAGCTATCTAAACACCAGGCATTACCTCAGCTGGAAGACTAGGCACAAACCAGGACACCAGAAATGTAATAGTCCTGTATTATAACCCAGCAAATGTGTTCCCTAGTGTTGGAGGACAGGACAGATGACAATACAACACACAACACCGCACATCTGGTAGTACTCAAGCAGGTAGTTTGATAACACTTAAATTGTTTTTCATAAGAAAGCCTTAATTGTGAATTCTCTCAGAAATATCCCTAAGCGCTAGCATTTCTTCATTTTACATTAAAAGCTCATGCATATCTAAATAAGGCAAAAAAAAAAAAAAAAACAAAAAAAACACAAAACCCCACACCAAAATCCCTCCCTATTTTTTTGAATAATAGAGAATGCAGAAATCCTGTATTTTCATTAATTACCAACACATACTAATCTGCTGAAACTTTTAAGTGCCATTACAACTACACTTTCACCCAAAAGAATTAGCCTGACTCACTCAAAATAAAGCAAGAAGGAAACATCCAGATTGTTCAAGAAGGTCAGACTTTGATTCTTTACAAACAATAGGTAAAAAGATCTGTGGCATGCCCTAGGCTTCTGTTCTTGGGAACATCAGGTTTGCAAAGCCTTTTTGAAGATCTAAAAGTTAAAGGACTGCTACAGTCACTTTTCCTATTATTACGTATGCAAACATAAGACTTTTTCCTTTAATCTCTTAGCTACCCTGGCAGAATTTCCAGAATGGTAGCTGCCTAAAAGTTCCTCATATCACTTCAATTAAGCATTGAAAGCACTTATTTTTAAAAACTTTCATATGTTATGTAATTAAAAATACATTAGCATGCACCATGGTGCTAGAGGAGTTAATAAATTACACCTATAGTCTTCTGCAGCAAGATTTTTTTTTTTTCTGTTGGTGCCATTGCCTCAATCTGAAAAAAAATCACAAGTAAATTTTAAGGCAGCTTGCTTTCACTATGCTTTAATCCATCAGATACAGAGTTAACAGGGTGGTTACATATGCAAAAAAATTCAACTTACTGCAAGAGTTTGTTTTGCCAATTGACGGGGTTAACACAGAGGACACAGACACCAAGCTAAAGAAATAGGCTTATTTTACTTTAGTTTAAAGCAGCAGAAAGAATAAGCAAGGTAACGCACCTAGTCATTACTACATAAAGCTAGCTATAGTGATTAAGAAAGGTACATCACCAATTGCCCTCCTACTTTACCATCACCCCGACCCGTGCATCAGCTGGGGAGCCCCGTCACAGCGAAGGGTCGCAGAGCCTTTCCCGGCAATTGGGAAGTCTCACACAGTGTGTCCGCTCGTAGGTGAGGTCTCCGTCTGTGCTGTGAGAGGGCCCGGCTTTTATACAGTTTAACAAACAAGTCTATATACAAAATGCACAGGAGATATCTGGTAGATTGATATGCCTCACTCAGGCGTGTCCGGATCTGGCCAGGATCCGGGCACGTCTGAGGAGTCTCCATTTTTCTTTACGTTTGGCATTTATAGTTACTTCCTGTTGTTTACTTATAGTTTCCAGGGATTGTTCCCAGGGTTGCATTTCACGCTGATAAGATGCTGGTTGCTGGTCGGGGAATTCACTCAGAAGTCAACTTTGGTTTGAGGCCTATTGTTTGGGCCTTTTTTTGTTTCAGCGTTACATTATGTCAAAGATACACTTACAGAGCTTAGTCACTTTAGGACAGAACTGGCTTGTTTTGTGCAACCACTGCACTCCTCTTGAGCAGGAGGTCAAATAGAGGCAAAAGCTGCTTATAACGAAGTCCACAGCTGTTTCTAGTGAGTTATTCTGGCTTGTCAGGAGCAGGAACAAACAAAATAACTAGGATTCATTACAGGGGGCATCATCTGAAAGATCTTCAGACTGTTTTGATGTCTTATTCTTGAGGAAGAATACCTATATTATTGAAATAGCCAACTGCTTCATCATGAAGATTTACCTGTGAACTCTGCAGTTGTTCAGAACACGAGCACAAGCATACAGAGATGGACTACAGGAAGTGGAAAAATAAGAACGGAACATTACTGTGTATTGCCTTTGAGAATGAGTCTATACCAGTCAAATTGTAAGTCTTTCTAAGAGTGTCACACTAGCAATTTTTCAAATTAATCCATTTCTGTCCTCTTGTTTTAGATTGCAGTGATCACACTGATTCAAGACACTATGTGCTTACAGCCCATGAAAAAAAATTCAAGAGAACAGGAGTAACACACGGGAGGAAATGGAGGCATTACTAATTAGCATTAGCCCAACTGACTTAGTTCCAGCTTTTGCTTCCATTTCTAAACATACCAGTTTCTCATTTAATCTGTGGACTATTCCAGGTTGAGAGAACAGAGGCATACACATATTCTCCTCAGTTATGTCCCAGGGGAAAAAAAAAAAAAAAAAAAAGACTTCTTCGACAGTCCTTCTGCAGTTCAAAATGCCTTCACTGTAAAGCAGGCTATCAAAAATTACAAACAAAATTGGTAATTATACTTCAGGGAATATATCAGCCCACCAAACTGCCTTTTCCATTGTATATGATAGTATTTAAAACAAAAGAACTTACAAATTGCTAGTCTCAGCACATAATTTCTTCCCAAGTTAAGAATAATAGAGGTCAAGACACTTTATAATCAGAAAAATGCTTGATTTTCTGGATAACATATTATTTGTTTCAAGAGAATAGCCAATACTCAAAGGAGACCTGTTTCCATAAAAATAACAGTGTGACAGAGGGCACTGCCAACTCCCAGTTGAGCAGCTGGATTTCCCCAAGAGGACTCCAAGGAAATGAAGAGCATCAAAGGGGGGGGAGGAGGAAGAAGGACAAAGACAAACTCGTCTCAAACTTCAGCCTTGCCAAACGAATTCAGCGGTCTGTGTCTAGGGCATTCACAGCAGACACGTTTGCAATATCCAAGAAAGGCAGGCAGTAATGCAGAAAGAGTAATGATTACATAAATACACATTTGGCTGAGACAGCTTAATTTGCCTGATAACTACAACTGGCTGACATTCCTACACCCTCCTCAGGCGAATGTTTGTGGAGCAGCATCGAGGAGGGAAGGGAAGCAAGTCCACTGAAAAAAAAGAGTTCAATCCTTGAAGCAAGGTCAGACAATTACAGATAATAATAAACACTCAGGTATCAAAGTCAGGCATTATAAATGTGGGCTATGCCAGTGAAGATGGCTGAAATGGCCTGAATTAAGTCTTCTGGAGAAATATTTTCATTATGATGGACTCTTAATTACACAACCACTTCCTACTTTTGTTTATACAGTTTTGTCTAATTCAGCAGACGGGATGTAGTACATAATTTCTAAAAAAATCCATTACTCTTTCTTAAAAGGCAAAAGCTTCACTTTAAGCACAGTGCCAGATGGTAGTTAAAAGTCCAGTTACACACTTGAGTAGCACTCATGGTTTTAGAGATAGTGTCAGAAATTGCATACCGACTACAGCAGTTGCTTCACCTGTTTTCCTGTAAAGAAAAGAGACTGACTAGCATATTCTAACTTCAAGCATGAATCTTGCTTTAGACTAGTCAGATATAAGTTGTTCATCAAGGAAGACTGCTTAATCAGCAGGTTGATAATAGGAAAGAGATTTCTTAAGATGAAGTCTGAGGTCTACTTGCCTCCCAGAAGTTTCTCTGACAACACCCTAAATTCTTTACTTTCAAAGTACTTATTCTTCTCACCCCATTAATTTTCAAATAGGCCTGGGAATTGCTAAGCCATATGCATTTACTGCTCTTAATAAGAAGAAATAGACATTAAGAATTTTTTTTTTTTTAATATTAGGAATTAAAGCTGCTTAAGCGTTCTCAAATTAGAAGTCAAGCTTCAGAAAGATTAAAGCACTCCAGAACATGAGGCTAGCACAATCGCAGCTCCTATCTATTTTTCCATTAGCCTATAATCTCTTACAGGCATTTCACCCTGGCTATTAAATGAACCTGAACTTAACAGTCCCATCTGATAAACGCAGGAGCTATAAAGCAACTTTTTATCCATGGAAAGGATAGCTTTATCTGAGTAGAAGCAGGGTTTCCCCCCTTTTGTCTTTGAAGTTGGCAAAACTTACTGCAGCAAATTTAATACAGAAGGAATTTCAGCCCAAAAGTCAACATAATTAAAATCTGGGGTTCAAGTAAAATAGTCTATTCAAAGCATCAAAGTCCTTCAGAAAGGAACATGCTTCATGGAGGATGTCATTCCATATTTTTGGGACATAGTGTTTTGTTTTGAAATCAATGAATGCATGCATATCTAGGAATAAGACAACAAAAACATTTTAAAAACCGCTTAGAAGATAATGGTTTTAAGAGATTTCTAAAGAATTGTTCATAAAGAGACAAAAGCAGATTCACACAACCACCACAAACAGGTGCAACTCCGAATCAGGGGTCACACTAGTTTGTAGTGAAGACATTGCTGCTTGTGCTTGTTTTCCCTTTAAATAACCATAATGGAAGAAAGCTTGTGTATTTTTTACAGTGAGTTTTACCTAAATATAATACTCAATATCATGGTGCCA